TCTTTAATAAATGGTGCTGGAAATACTGGCTTTCCACATGCCAAAGACTAAAACTAGACCCACGTATATCAACATGAACTAAACTAAAGTCAAAACAGATCAAAGATCTAAATATCAAAACAGAAACATTAAATCTATTGGAAGAGAAAGTATGTAAAAATCTTGAAGACACAGGGGTAGGCAGAGAGTTCATGAACAAAAACCAAACTGCATGGGAAATCTTTCAGAGAATCAGCAACTGGGATCTTATCTTATTGAAAAGCTTTTGCATATCAAAAGAAATCACCAACAAAGTAAAAAGAAAACTCACTTGGAATTTTTTTATTTGGAAAAAGTTTTATCCAACTGCCATTCAGACAAAGGACTTCTATCTAGAAAATATAAACAATTTTAAAAAATCAAGCTCCCAAAGGTCAAAGACCCAGTCCAAAAATGGGCATTTGAGATGAATACTCACTTCTCAGGTGAAGAAATGCTAATGGCAAATAAATATATTAAAAAATATTCATCATTAGCCATTCCAGAAATACAAATTAAAACAATCCTGAGATTCCATCTCACCACAGATAAAATGGCTATCATTAAGAAATCAACCAATGACACATGCTGGAGAGGCTGTTGGGAAAAAGGACTACTTCTCCACTGTTGGTGGGAGTGTAGATTAGCGAAACCACTTGGTAATCAGCCTGGAGATTCCTCACAAAACTAGGATTAGAAATCCCACTTAACCTAGCTCTTCCCCTTCTGGGTACTTTTCCAGAAGAATTAAAAACATCATACCACATCAATATATGTACACCCATGTTTATAGCAGAGCGATTTTTCATAGCTAAATCTTGGAAACAACCCAAACGCCCATCCACTGAGTAATGGATAAAAAAATGAGTGGTATTTTTATACAATGTAGTATTACTCAGCTATAAAGGAAGATAAACTTAAGGCTTTTATAGGTAAATGGATGCAACTACAGACCATACTCATAAGTGAAATAAATTGGACCCACATGTATAAACATCATATAGTCTCCCTCGTTTAAGAACATCAAAGAGTAAATAAATCCCAAAATATATAATAGGTAATGCATAAGGGAAAAAGATTGTGCAAAGGAAGGAACTGGGATGAGGGAAAAAAAAGTACTAAGGCAATATATACATACATATGTATATAGAAGTATAGCTGGGATAACTATATTGCTGATGTCTGGTGGTTTGTTGAAGAGAACAGTTAGAGCTTGAATTATTTTTATATTTTGGTCAGTTTTGCATGCTTGTATCTCTGGTCATCTGAGCAACTGATATGAAGACAACAATATGCAATATGACAACTGTTGGTGAGTTCCCACCATCCTGTCTAGTGAAATTCTGTATTGTCTGTAATTTTTAAAAAATTATTACTTTCTTATTCTTTTTGATGGTTTAATTAATCTTCCAGTCTTTCATCTGGTAATTGCAGCAATTTTGTTAAGATACCAATATGTAATATAACAACCACTGTCAATCCCTATTATTTGGTTTGAAACCCCATGTCATTTTTAATGTCCTTGCTTTGTTTTGTTTGTATTTTGCTATTGTTCTTTTTTTACTACTCTAAAATTTACAAAAACCTCATAATTAAGGTATAGTGTTAATATGATAGTGTTTCTTTTTGCCTTTTTTTTTTACTTTGGTGGTTGATAGTCCACATCATATTTAAACAAAAATATTGTTATTAGTGTTTCTAATAGTTATACTACTAATTTCTGCTTCTTGGTTTACTGACTAGCTTCTTCTCTGAAAATAGAATAAAATATTAATTTAAATAGATGATATTCTTGATTTACATGTAACTTCAATTGTAATACGTTCTTCAGTATGAGGTAAAATTTTTTTCAAATATGATGATTGCTTTCTTTTTTTTTTTTTCTTTTGGTACCAGGAATTGATGGTCAGGCCAGTCAGGCGCTATGCCATGGAGCTATGTGGCCAGCCTTGTTTTTTTAAAATGTAACTACTTTGAAGATAACAATATGCAGTACATTAACCATTGTTAAATTCTTACTATCCTGTTTGTAGACTCGGTATCATTGCTTTTATTTTTCATCTTTCTCTCTTTAAAATAAAAATTAAAAAATAAAATAAATGCATAAAATGTGTTTGTAGGAACTTTTCTCACAAAGTTCTACTTCTGTAAGTATTTTGATTTCAAATTTTTACATCTATATTAATGTTACCTATATTTAGCTTTTACATTCTACTGCTATGCAAAGTTTTTTATTTTAAAAATTTAAAAAACTGACAAAAATCAAAATAACACAAAAACATCAAAAATGTAAAGTTTTAATATAAGAGTCATGGTGGCTTCATAAAGTGAATTTGGTATTTAAAGATTCTCACTTTGTTATGTCCTCTAGAATGAATTATGGGACAGGAATAAAGCTCTTTTTGAGTATACAATTTGTACTGCCTAAAAAACTGAGCATAAAGCTTTTGGGAT